CTCTCCTCTCTCCTCCCTTCCCTTCCCTCCTCTCCTTCCCTTCCCTTCCCTTCCCTTCCCTTCCCTTCCCTTCCCTTCCCGTCCCTTCCCTTCCCTTCCCTTCCCTTCCCTTCCCTTCCCTTCCCTTCCCTTCCCTTCCCTTCCCTTCCCTTCTCTTTTTAACTGCTGTACAATTCTCCCAGGTGTGCTCTCCCCCATCACCGCACACAAATCTCTTATTAACAATTACTGATGTTTAATATATGCAAGGAATTCAGACAGAGATGTGATTTACATGCCAGTCCATGGGGTCATGTAAATGACCACACTTGCAGGTGGTTAAAGTGGCAATGAATGAGAGTGTTTGTGTCAGCAAGATCCTGGTTATGGATATGGCAACTGAGGCAGAAAAAGGTTGAAAGAGGCAAGATGACCAATTGCTTAATAGTCGGTAAGTACTTTACTGTCTGGTTTTATTTGCCTGTTATTTCTAATATCACCATTTATTTTTAAGCATATAACACAGAACTTTTCCTACCTTCACTTTAGCACCTTTTTAAGTTTGCCTTTTGTCCTCATTACTGGCAAGCTAAGGAAACATCCGTCACCTCCTTTGTGTCAAGTGATGAGGTAATACCCAATCAAAGCAGAACTCAGTACATTTGAATTATGTATTTTAAGATTTCCAATAGAATATTTTCTGTAAATTAAGTTCTGCTATCTCTAAACTGTTTTCATTTGTCTTTGCATCTGAAATCGATGTTTACAAACATTGGCTATCCACTGAGAGTTTCACCACCAGTTTTCTGTGCAGTGACTCTGTACACTAGCCATATGGCTCTAATTAAGGCATCTTAGTATTAGTGTTTGCATACTAGAGAAAAAGAAACAGATATGCCTTGGACGATAATTTAATCTTCCTCTTCATTGTGCCACTTTATTCCATAATTAAGGATATATGCACATCCTAACTGTGCTTTTCCACTTTTAATATATACCATTTTATTTTAGTGACAAACATTTGAATTTGGTGTAATTGCAACAGTTAGGCAAGGAGCTTTGTGGCACACTAACTCTGCAATTCCAAACCAGACCCCTGTCATCAGCCATCTTCTGCCAGGAAACTTCCATGATCTGGCTTTGTTTAGTGTCAGATAAGAATATTTTAATGAAAAATAAGCAAGCATTAGCATACAGTATTATCAAATAAGAGTTGGGTTTTCTTTTGACTTTTCTGGTCCTCATCAGTCTATTTTGGCTGCTCTGTTTATTTGGGAGAAATATAAAACCTCTTGATTGTATTTAAAATGGCTTAAATAATGTTTGAAATATCCAGAACTGCAAAAGGAACTTGAGGGCTTTTTCTCTCCATTTCCCTACCTACTGTCTTTACATTTCTTGTCTTTCCATGTTTCCCTATTCCTTCATCCTTTGTGTTTGCCTCACACAAATACAAATGATGTTTTGCATGTCTTCCCTGCAGCTCATATTCCTTCCATCACAGCTATGCTGTTTTCACTCCCAGGCTTGTTTTCAGAGCCCTACTTTTTACATACTGTCTTTACTACTGAGATGTAAAGGAATAAGTAAGTTTTGAAAATTAATATGTTCGACTAATATGCATGGTTTTGTCCTTCTATGGTGGAATTGCAGTGTTGTCTGTTTGCAGGAGTCAATGCATATAGACGTCAGCTTTACAGAATTCTGTACGTTATCCTTGTTCAAAATGGCTGCTGGTTTCCATTGTATAACTGCCTGTGCTGAATTTAAAGTTCTTCCTGCTCTTAATTAACTGAATAATTATGGCAACTAACACAAAGTTCTCATTAATAACTTTATTAATTACAATGTAAGCATTTAATTAAATACATGATTAAGAATAATGCTAGCTGTTTTTAAAAGGTCTTACCTACATTGTTAAGAATCTTCAAGTTCTGCACAAGTTCCTCATGATCCTTAGATTTTCCGTGTATTAGATTTTAATATAAATGGTAAGTTTACTATTATACTAATGGAAACATCTCTTTATATGGAGTTCTGTGTTAAAGTTTCTTCCCTAGAGTTTCATAGACTTGTCTTAATATTCAGGACTCCCATTTACCAGAGATTGGTGCACAGAGCTCTGACATGAATATACTTCATAAGAATATATACTAATTGTTGGTGCATACTTGAAAATAATCTTTGAAACAGGAACTAAGGAATTTTTATCTACCTGAGACAGCTGTGAAAACTTTTAAAAGAAAAACCAATGGGTAATTTGCATTAAATATTTAAATTGAACTTTTGTTAGGACTAAAATATAAACCTGTATTCTAAAACTATAATAGGCACCTATTAAAGACAATGACCAAAACTTATTTTCCACAGCCCTGACTTTTTCTTAAATGCTTTTGATTAGAAGTTCTGAGACAATGCCCAGCTTTGTACTGAGAGGAATCATTGGGGTCCAAGTCCCAGGACTGGATGTACTTCTGCATGACTCGCTGCCAAGTCACACAGCAGCTCAGATGCTCTAAAATTTTAGAGTAGTGCTCTCACCAACATTCAGCTGCAAGTGCTGAAAATCAAGCAGAACCAGTGAAATTTGCAGGGTATTTGCTGTCTTCTGCAGTAGAGCCAAGTCCAGACATGAACTCCAGCCCTGTCTTGAAGCTATGCTAGATCAAACTTTTTGTTTTCTTAAGTTGTCTTGGTGGAGGCATTTGAAGAAAGCAGGCTGTATTGTGAAGTTCACACAAGCTGTATTCTCACATAAGCCATGACCTCGTACATTAAATTAGAAGAGTTTGCCTTCCCCATAGCTTTTTTGCTGATTTTGTTCAAATTTGTTTTTTTCCCTTCTGTATCTGGAAGAGCAACTTCTGAGTCGAAGTGCCAGCATCGTATCCTTGCTACTAAACCTAAATTAGACAGATCATCTATTTAAGCAGGTAAATGTATGGCTGTGGCTTCTGTATTTTTAATTGCACAAAATGTCCCAAAACATTAAAATGCCATCGTGGAACCAGCTTTCAAAGCATTGCTGCTGCTGCTGGTGAATTACTACTAAGAAAATCAATACTGGCATATGATTTTTTCAGCATGAAGGTGTGTGGCTGATCCACTGCTTAAATAAACACATAGGTCTAAACTAAAGTCAGTAATAGCAGGAAATATCAGCCGATGTATTTCAGGACAAAAACAACAAAAATATTAGATTCCTTTGAAGTCTGGGGACAACATGCCACATGTATAACTCCTTACGAGGATTCAGGGGGTTTTCTTCCTTTTCTCCCATTACCCAGAATGCTGCTGGGAGTGAATAAATGCCTTGCTCTGTTTAGATATTGCACTCACTAAAATCCCCAAACTGATAGCTGAGGATCACTAAGAGAAGCAATAATGCAATGTGAAGGTATTTGTCCTGGGTCTCAAGATTGTTTTTTATGTTAGAGGGAATATCAGATATTTGTAGGAAGTACTCAGAGCACCTTGTTTCCTCCTTTCTTTTTTCTTTGAGATGGTTTTCCTGGTGCAGCCTCTGCAATAGGAGAAGGGATTTTCTACTTGCCCTGTAGTACTGCCCCTCATTTTAAAGACTGAAATGTGGGAGTGGGTTGGAGACTTATCCAAACTCCTTCAGTTTTAGTCTGCTTCAGGACTCTATATATGTGAGCCTCTAGTTTGACCAGGAAAGGTGCTGGGGACAGAAAAGAACTCTGCTAAATGGCAAGGGCTGGAGGTGGCAGGGGCTGGAAGCAGCAGGAGAAGCTGGAGAGGGAAAGGGACTGGAAGAGGAGGGAGCAATCTAGGCTGAAACTGAACCTACCAATCGAGCCTGCCTCCAGTGTATTGCTGAAACAATCAATAGGGAGGTCACTATTAGCATTATTGTTAGTCAGGGGCTGGTTCCCAGGCTTCTGGGGTTGGTGAAGCCATTTGGGGATATTTTGTAGCAGTGGGATATTAAGCAGAAGGGGTATTAAGCAGAAGGGACATTAAGCTGTTATCAGACACCTTTTCTGTCTGCTAGCTCTTTCTGCTGCAAAAGTATTGCTATGGAGATAAGCAAGGGAGTACCCTAGAGCAACAGTGACAGGATCTCCTCTTTCTATTAGGCTTCCTATAGCCCCAAAAGAATAAAAAGAGCTTTATGAATAGGGAAGAGTCTATTCAGTTAGTGTATTCCTCTTATTGTGACTGGAGTCACCCAGAATGAAAGTAAAAATTATCAAAGGTTTTAAAGGTGGTTATAATTTCAGTGATGCATCCTGCTCAATACTGTAAATAATGCTAGTACAGTTATTTTGCTACTATGGCAGTCATGTTTACTCTTAACAGGCTGGGTGAAAAGGAGAGTACTGCAATGCAGTCTTGCAGCTGATCTTTTTTCCTCAGATTATTCTGTGTAAAAAAGAGCTCTTTTTGTGAAATGATGATGATAAGAATATTGATGAGAAGTTGATTAAGCTATGGCACATGGTAGCTCCTGATCAGATAACTCAGGCAGAAACTGAAAAGCCAAGAATTTTTACTGCAGCAGTAAATGCTTATCATTCAACCAGCAGTAACCAGCAAAAACTCCCAAACTGGAGGAGAAAAGATTAGTTTGCACTTTAAAGGATTCAGAATGTGGCAGTCAACATAAAAAAGGTAAATACATGGCAGCAGAAATCTGAATACTTGCTAAGGAAACAATGTAAGTGGGCACATTCTCCAAATATATGACAATGGTGCAGGCTACATGTACCGTGAAGTGGCCTGCAGACTATTAAATATAGCATTTCTGATTCAGTGTTCTATAATTTGTTGGTGGTGAGCTAAATTTGATGTCCATAAGGCTCCTGGTGATAGAGCTCCTTGTTATCCAGTGACTGTTGAACAGCTGTTAAAATGTATTTCAATATATTTGCAGAGTGCAGATGCAAAGTTTGCAATCATGACTTTCAGCTGAGGAATTAGAACAAGTTGGAAAAAACAACTTAGAAATGGTCAGAAGAAGAATTCTGAATAATGAATTAATTTTTTTATATGTTAAAAATAACAATCTGTAAATAGAGCAAGATATGAAATTTGTCCTAGAGAACACATTACTTCTGACTGATCTGGTCTCAGGAGATTTTGGCAGTACTAGCCAAATGATACTCTGCTGGCATGTTTCCAACAGGAGAATCCAATGTTAGCTGGAAAGAAAATCCTGGAAGCTCCTGGCTGGGCCCTGGTTGCACTTAATTGCCCAGATGTGCCTCACCTGCCCCTGCCCAGGGGCCAGGAGACCCATGTAAGTGTGGGCAGGGCTCTTTGTCCTGTTTGCCTTGACCTGCCTGGTGGTTCAGTTAGCCCCACACTGTCATGTGTCCTAGCATATAAGGTAAGGGGAAGGTTTAAAAGGGAACTTTGTTTTTTCACTTGAAATTTTTGTTTTGTTTTGTTTTTTTAACTCATGCTAGTAGGGTCATTGTGGAATAGCAATAGACAGATATTCTTGTTGGGAAAGAAAAGCTGGTATGGAAATAAAGCAAAATCTTGTCTCTGTTTAAGCAAGTGAGTTGTATAAATCCTGACTAAGGTACCCAGGCTGCTGCTTCTAGCCTTGTGATCATTTGGTAATTGCAGGGGTTTCTGTTTGTTCTGCTCTAGGATGCAGCACAACTCTGTTGAGACCTTCTGGTTCCTTGTACCCACTGTGGGGAGTCAGATGGGGAAAACCATTTCTCCTGGGATGTTTGGCACCAGGTGCTGTCTCTCATGCTGAAATAGTCTTGTAGCTAAGTTAACTTGGAGTTCCTGGTGGTGTGCTTTGAGGACTCTGCCCCTAGGGATTGGGAGCAAGAGCTTGAATTGTTCACTGCCACATCAGCTGGGGTTATCTCTAATATGCTGCTACTTGTACTGGGGGAAGGAAAAATTTGGGGTTTGTCTTGTGAGACAGAAATTCTGAACATTCCTTGGCTCTAGTGATTTACTTAAACTGGCTGAGGACTTGCAAAGGCAAACAGCCTGGCATGGAAGTCTGTAGTAGAAAGCCTTTCTTTTAGGTGACTTTTATCTGCTCCTTTGTCCATTGGCTTTTTTTTCTTTTTCCTCTGAGACTGGTTAAAAAATATTGGACTACATTTTATTCTGTGACTGAGATTTTGCATGCATTTCAACTGGTTATTTCTATACAATTTATTCATAAAATTACACTATGGGTATGCCTGGGTTTCTGAAATATCGTTGTCCAAATCAGTAATTTATTTAGGATGGGAATACTGTGCTTGTGTACTTAAGAACTATGCTACTTTAAATAATAAGAACTAAATTTGGTTGTTTTTATTGTTTTATGCAGAGCAGTGAATAAACATTAAAAGAAATAGCAGCAGGGTAAGAAAAAGGGAAGGACTGAATGTAGAGGAGATTGCTTAATTAAAATCTGTGACAGCCTCTGATTTCTTTGATGTTTTAAATTGCATTGAGCTGTAATGTAATTTAATTTTGAAGACATTTAAGTAGTCCATTCCTGAGTATTGACTGATTATCTTTTGCTCCATATACAAAATTGGAATAACCATTTACCTTACTGTTGGAAAATTGAGTTCTGTGGCATAGCTTCTGCTTTTAAAAAATATTTTCAATTGGTAATTAAGACAACATCAGTTACTGTGAATTAATGGAATAAAACTCTAATGCTGCAGAAGGTTAATAGAAGTGCAGTTAAATCTTGCACCAGAAATAAGTCTTACATGAGCTATTAGCACATCAGGAAAGTGTTCTGCAGCCCCAGATTAACTCTAAATTTCCTTGCTCATTTGATTTGGATTTTTTTTGCTGCTTTGCACCTAGATAAGCATGTGTAGTACTTCTGAAATCCAGTTGTGTTGGCTTAGTTTTGACCCCCCTTGACTGATTTCAGGGAATCTTGTTTTGCTTGATTCTTTTCATTATCACCTCTGATGTCTTATCCTATCAGAAAACTCACTGATCATCCTTCTGTAAGTGGGTTATAACAGCTTGGCCTGAATTTGCAAATGATGTTTGGACTTCTGCTTTTGTCAGCTAAAACATTAGCTGTCACGTGTTTGTCATCACTGAGTCCCCATGGTCTTCTGCTGAGGAGTCTCAGAGCTGGGTTATACCGAGTAGCTGGTGGTGATGGAAGTATCCTTTAGGAGGAAGGGAAGGAATCACCCAAGTGACAACAAGTAGTACTGAGGAGTGTGCTCGGGCCACCTGATTTCAGCCCCTCTGCCCCCTGTATGGTCTCACCATAGATGGATGCAATCTCTTCCTCCTGTGGTGGGAGTTTTCTGGGACATGTAGCTTGCCAAACTGTGCTGGGAAAGCATACCATACTTCTGGGACATAGATCAAAGTATTTACATTACTGTGCAATTTTATATATGCACACATGCATAAAGGAGCAAACTAGGTCAGTAAAAACATAGGAGTATAGCACTAGCTTTTGAGAAAAATTATTTCAACATAGCTAATTTGCCATCTTCATAACTAAATTTTGGAGCTCTGAAACATTTTTATGTAGAAAGTAATGACTGTTCTTTTACTTTCAAGACTTATCCATTGGAATTAATAATTGTCCTGGGAAATTCTCTGTTTCTTGAATATGAAAAAATGTTGTAAAAGTGAGCTTGTTTTCAGGCTGTTAATCATTCAGATCAGGTACTGCAGTATTGCAGCTACTAGTTCTTGTTATCTGTGGGCCAGCTGTGTGTTTTTTCTGTGTGAATTAGACTTACCTCCTTCAAAGTTAATCATAGAATGGTTTGCATCGGAAGAGACCTTTAAAGGTCACCTAGTCCAAGCCTGCTGCAATGGGATCTTCAACTAGATCATGTTGCTGAGAACCTCATTCAGCCTTGCCCTGAATGTTTCTAGGGATGTGGGTCATCTACCACCTCTCTGGGCAACGTGTTCCGGTGTTTCCTCACCTTCTTTGAAATAAAGGTCTTCATTATATCTAGTCTAAATCTATACCCTTTGCTTTAAAACCATTCCTCCTTGTCCTATCATGATATGCTCTTTTTAAAAGCCCCTCCCCAGATTTCTTGGAGTCCCCTTTAGGTACTGGAAGCTGCTCTAAGGTCTACCCAGAGCCTTCTCTTCTCCAGGCTGAGCAACCCCAACTCCCTCAGCCGTTCCTCATCCAAGAGGTGCTCCGGGCCTCTGACCATTGTGTGGCTGTCCTCTAGACCTGCTCCAACAGGCCCATGTCTTTACCCTGCTGAGGGCTCAAGAGCTGGATGCAATGCTCCAAGTAGGTTCTCACCAGAACAGAGCAGAGGGGAAGAATCTCCTCCCTTGGTCTGCTGGTCACACTCCTTTTGATGTAGCCCATCAAGCCCATCAAACACTTGGCCTTCTGGGCTGCGAGCATACATTGACAGGTCATGTCCAGCTTTTCATCACTAGCATCCCCAAGTCTGGGGGTAGCAGCAGGGCTGCTCTCAATCCGTTTGTCCTCCAGCCTGTATTGGTACGATGGGTTGCCCTGACCTGGCTTCAGGGCCTTGCATATGGCCTTGTTGAACCTCATGAGATTCACATGGACCCATTTCTTGAGTTTGTCCAGGGCCCTTTGGATTGTATTCTGTCCTTCATGCGTTGTCAACTGCACTACTCAGTTTGGTTGTCTGAAAACTTGATGAGAGTGCGCTAGAGCTCACCATTGATACTGCTGATGAAGATATTTATACAGTGCTTGTCCCAGCAAGGCCCCTGAGAGAAACCACTTTTCACTCATCCCCATCTGGAATCAATAAATTGTGACTTTTTCTGGTTTGTACCTCTTGTAAATATTCACAAAATATTCCCCCCCCCCCAAACTATTTTAATTTTCTTTGGTGCTAAGGTTTCCCGTTATTTAAATATTTGCTCAGCTGTATTATGGCTGTTAGCCCTTTACTGCATGTTTTGTAGCTATTTTATTCAGATAAAATTGTTTTATAGCTGGAGCTGTTGCTCAATAAATGTGGTTCTCATGTTTTTTCATGGGATTCCAAATTAATTGGATCTGCAATCTAACTTCTCCAATGTTTAAAATTCTTACTGGGCAATGTCTTAGGGACTTTCCTTTTTATTTGGAGCTAATTAGGCCAGTGAATTAATTGCAAATGTGAATTCTGGCATGTTCAGAATATTGGTGTATACCCTAGAAATGAAAATGCCAGGAAAACAGTATTTTGAACCTATTGATCTTAATGAATGATTCCCAGTCTATGAAAGTGTAAGAGGAAATTGTTTTAAGCCTTAAAATAGTTGTGCAGTATCCAGCTGTGGTAACAATTTTGGAAGCTTTCAAAATTGATCATTTTACCATACACAACAGCTTGAGCTGATGCAAAGTGTGTTTAGTTTCATGAAGCTACTGTGCTTGGAAAGTCTTAGAAATTTTTTGTCCTGCTTGCAAGAAAAATATATCCAATGCATACATTTTCTCCTAAGTTGTTTTTTACAAGATTCAATGATAACAAATGATCTTGAAGGTGCTTATAAAAGGATTAATCTGCAGAAGTTCTGTAAAAACTGAAGCACCTTAATTTTCTTGTCATTTTCTTTTTGATAGAGACAGTTGCTATATACTGTGGGATTTTTGCAAGGAGCAACTGTAGTGTTACTCCATCAGGCATCTAATGAATCCTGACCTTTGATCCATGAGATGAATGTTGAAGAGGAATGCTCACATGGAAAAGAATCCTGGAAAGATCCTTAAAGCTATTCCTAACCTTCAAATTGATTTTTTTTTTTTTTTTTTTTTTTTTATTAAATAGGTTAAAAAAACCATGGCAATAGATTGCTTGGGTATTGTGGTTCATGCAACTGCACCTCTTGTTGCTCCAAGTAAGCAAGCCAAGGGACTTTGATGTAAAGGGGAGGGTTCCTGGCAGTTTCTGTAGAAAGAGGAGTGGGTCCCGTGTGTGGAGATGGTCTTTTCTGACAGACGTGCTTTATGTTGATGTAGAAACTGTATTCTGAAGAAACACAGAACTCATTACTGTGCTGCGTTGATGTGAATTAGGGTAAGATGAGCACCACTGGAAGATAAATCCATGGGCACTCTGACCTTTGAAGGAAGTCTTTGGATTAGTTTTTGACATAAGTGTATGCTGGGGAGAAAAGGGGTGACTGAGAAGTCTCATGCAAGGCCAAGATGACAATCTGGGCAGTGGCTGCCACATGCATGATGCAGGTCAGGAGAGGGGCATGTGTGACCTTTCACAAGGTGCAGCAGGGCTGGGCCTTCCATGCCAAGGAGGAGTACAGATATGGCAGGCTAATAACCATTGTTACTTGGGCACATGAGCAGCCCCATCTTCACCTTTTGGGAGCCTTAGTTTCTGGCTGAGCTTCTAGAACTGCAGTGGCTTGTGCCAT